TGTGTCTGTGTGTCTGTGTGTCTGTGTGTCTGTGTGTCTGTGTGTCTGTGTGTCTGTGCGTCTGTGTGTCTGTGTGTCTGTGTGTCTGTGTGTCTGTGTGTCTGTGTGTCTGTGTGTCTGTGCGTCTGTGTGTCTGTGTGTCTGTGTGTCTGTGTGTCTGTGTGTTCGTGTGTTCGTGTGTCCGTGAGTCCGTGAGTCCGTGTGTCCGTGTGTCCGTGTGTCCGTGTGTCCGTGTGTCCGTGTGTCCGTGTGTCCGTGTGTCCGTGTGTCCGTGTGTCCGTGTGTCCGTGTGTACGTGTGTCCGTGTGTCCGTGTGTCCGTGTGTCCGTGTGTCCGTGTGTCCGTGTGTCCGTGTGTCCGTGTGTCCGTGTGTCCGTGTGTCTGTGTGTCTGTGTGTCTGTGTGTCTGTGTGTCTGTGTGTCTGTGTGTCTGTGTTTCTGTGTCTCTCTGTGTCTGTGTGTCTGTGTGTCTGTGTCTCGGTGTCTCTGTGTCTCGGTGTCTCTGTGTCTCTATGTCTCTGTGTCTCTGTGTCTCTGTGTGTGTCTGCGTCTGCGTCTGTGTCTGTGCCTGTGTCTGTGTCTGTGTGCGTGCACCACTCATGAGTCCACTGCCAACGAAGCTACTCATGAATTGGGAGGATATAGAGGGGGAGAGGGAGAGGGGGAGAGTGTTTGAGGGCATGCAGCATGGGTGCGCTATCCGAGAAGTGTACCAAGTTTTGAGGCTTTCCCGCGCAAGGATGACACGCATGCAGGATCATTCGCACTATCCGGCGATTCGTGGCTCAAGCTCAACAACGAGGCACAAATCGAGAAGTGTCTTGTTTTTGGAGCTTGTTGAGGGCCAGTTGGGACGCTCAGCCCCTGGTACCTTAGTCCTGGCCGGCACCCCCAGAGTGCTCATTGGGGCTTCAGGGACCTTTGTTCGTAGGGATGCTAGTGAGATCTACTGAACCCTGGAGACTGAAACCATGTAGATGATGTACCCGCATGTATTCCTCAGAACCTGAGCCACCACCTTCCCACTACAGTCACGTTACACATACATCTCATTAACAATAGAAAGGTTTGCAAGGCTACCTTTCTTGTGATCTGCAACCCCTTAGCAAAGCATGATCTGCATGGGCAAGTTCATCGAAATCACGTAATGTGCAATCAAAAGGTTCGACGTTGAACACATGAGCGTGCCACGCCACGATGTTCCAGAACTGCAAGTAGTTCATGATGCCGTCAAAACCAATCCTCAGACTTACGCCTACCTGCCGCTCGGCTTTGTCTGCCGTAGTTCTGCAGTTGGGACGCAATGTCTGCCAGAAGGCAGGGGACATGCAGGTTGAAACAAGGGCTGTAAAGGAAAGCGGCATTTGAATGCCACCCAACACGCAGAGAGGCTCCGGCCAAGGCACGAGAGGGCGGGCAGCAATTCCCGCATTTCGGAATACAAGATGCGCATCAAGATGACCATGAACAGCCTCGACTAGACTGCGTGACGGCGTGCCCCGTTTACGCAACTAAGAACTGCTCTTTTGTTGATCTCTTGAGACGAACGGCTCGGTAAGCTCAAGCGGAGCACTGCGGGCGTTAAGCGGGTGCCAAAAGGGCCGAGCAACACGTCGGGGACCAGGTTGGTCCAGTCTTTGTAGGGATCGGCCAGAAAAGTCTCAGCAAACTGCACGTGCTTCATGAAGCCTGGGCTTTGGAGGGGGCAGTGCAATGTTATGTAGAATTGCTGCAAGTACCCCTGTCGATGGCTCATACTTCCCGTGCAGTTGAATCATGCATGGAGTAACTTAGGACACTCGCAGTTTAGGAACAGCAAGGCAAGCGAGACGCAGACATGTCATGCGAGTGCGACATGCCAGCTTTCGTGCGCAAGTTGGAAAGACTAAGGCTTCATGTCCACACCAAGCCACCATTGTTCTCGAATCTAAAAGTCAATTGCTCGAACGTAAACCTGAGTTCGCACAATCTGCATTCGGAAGCGCCGACAACGGCCTGCATCCCATCAATGGCTTTGAATTTGAACAAGCCACGTGCCCAATACTGGGTTGAGGAGAACGGAGTCCACACTCAAGGCCGTGGTGTTGTCATCCAGCCTTGGATACACAGCAGGCCCGTTGCGCGCAGCTGCAAGACCCCTTGCGATCAGTGCACTGTGCAGCCCTGCGGTTGTTCCTAACCTCTTTTTATGTCCATGCTGCGTACCTTTGCTATGGTAATCTATGGTGCCTACTTGTACTGGAGTAACCCCTCACACTAGGAGCAGAACCCCCGACGACCCCAAGTGTCGTTTGACCAATTTGCCAAAAGCAGCCAGTATCCGTAGGTCCACTCGTCCATCGTTTTTCTGACTGAATCCGCGCCTTGCCGGAAACGACCAAACAGAACGACTAAACTTCCAGGAGCCAAGCCTGTCCAAACTATATTGAGATCCTGGCTTCCGTAAGACTACGGTGAAATCAGAAACCCCAGAATCAAATCAAGAAGCCGTAAACTTCATCAGAGAGTCGAGTCATACATGAAACAGAAGAGCATTCTTGCAACTGCTGAGCCAACATGTTGGAGCCGCGAAGGGTAGCGTCTGCGGAGCCAGCCCCCGCAGAACCCTATATACTATATGGTATGGTTGCGCCCCGGCGGCCTCCTCCCCCCCCCCTCCCCCCCCCCCTCCCCCCCCCCCCCTTCCCCCAGTGGGGTGGTTCTGGGTTGGTTTTAGGGTTTAGGGTATTAGGGTGTTTAGGGTGTTTAGGGTTTTAGGGTTTTAGGGTTTTAGGGCTTTAGGGCTTTAGGGTTTTAGGGCTTTAGGGTTTTCAGGGTTTTAGGGTTTTAGGGCTTTAGGGTTTTCGGGTTTAGGGTTTAGGGTAGGGTTAAGGGCTTAGGGCTTAGGGCTTAGGGCTTAGGGCTTGGGGCTTAGGGCTCAGGGCTTAGGGCTTAGGGCTTAGGGCTCAGGGCTTAGGGCTTAGGGTTTAGGGTTTAGGGCTTAGGGTTACGGTTTACGGTTTAGGGTTTAGGGTTGGTTTAGGGGAGACCGTAGACCATGCGGGGGGGGGGGGGTGGGGATACCTGGGGGTGGGGGGGGGGGGGGGCCGAGAACGCACAGCGCACAACCAGATATGCAAAGCAAAAGCAGCTGATATGAGGTGACGCTGTGAAGATGATCAAAGTCACCCCGAGCCAGAGCTGGCATAGTGTCTTGTGCTCACTGACATGTCATGGTACATGTAGTACACGTGCCCATGCGGCAGGCCAAACTAAGGACTCCAGGCCAAGCGTCTTTCGTGATAAAGGATCCACCTATCGTCGAACAGCTCACCACCTTGCTTGTAGCATTGCACCTGAGGTCCGCGTTCTGTACAGGACTAAACTTGCAACCTGGAGTCCTAAAGGTCAGCATGACCCACGTGTCTTGCACAAGCCACCGCCACAACAATCTGGTTCAAGAGTTGACGGGCCTATGCACTTCTCAAGGGTAACTCGAAGAGAGATTTGAGATCGATCCGCAGCAACTGGGCGACTCGAATGTTTAGGGAAGGGGGCAAGAGGGGAGGGGAGGGGACGGGACGGGACGGGAGGGGAGGGGGAGGAGAATGGGGTACATTGATTCTGCTCCAGAGAAGACCTTGAGGTTGCTATGGAATCGAGGCTCGCCCAGCCGCTCAAAAGGGTAGTAGATCCTTGGCCATGCACCAAGATCAATCGCGAAGCAGAGGCCCAATCTGTTGTTGCCAACTAAGGGGTATGTGACATTTGGAGGGATCGAGCTGGAGGTTCAGGGAAGCGCCACCATAATTTCAGACCTCATCGGCTGAAACACTGCAGCAAGGTTCTTTGCCATGTATGTCGGCATGCTGCAGTTCTGCGTTGGCGTATAAGAACGCCTGCACGCACCCAGCTGGCACTGGAAGACAGCTCATTGTGCAGATGGCCATTCAGTATGCCACAAGTAAGGACCAAAAAACCCTGAAACCTGGAGAAGCCAAGAATGTGATTCCTGCCAACGACATGCGGAAAATGCGTCAAACAGATTGCACGTATGAGATGAATGGAGTACTACCTGCCTAAATCGGAATCCGCCAATAACCTGGTTCCGCCCGAAGTAGCGGCCCGGCGTGTAGAGACTGAGGTCCTCTCAAAAAAGGATTGATTATAGGAAGGATTGCACCGGACTCGACCGCAAACAACAACTCTTGTACCCGCTATCTCACACTCCTCTGCAGCGACCGTGGGTTGACTTATTTACCAGGTGCATTAAAGCAGCAAGGCCTCCTGTCAAGTCAAACCAGCCCCTCTTTTGTACGGCGTCTAGCTGAGAGAGTCAGCTTGCAAAGTGTGCAACAATAAAGCATCCCCTCCAGCGGACTTCAGCTTGAAGGCAATGGAGAGGCCAAAAGGCTGCACACGAACAAAAGTCAGCAACAACATGGTGATGCGCGGCAGCTAAAGTAAGTGAAGCCGGCATAGCTCACGTAGCCACGCAAGAAACAGGGCTCAAGCCCTCCGCAACTGAACCACTTGGCCATAAGTTTGGCTGTCAAAGTCCGCGGTAACGGGAGAGCGGCCGGGACAAGAGCCCTTTCATCTGCCTTTATCCAATCTGAGTGCAAAGCACTCAGAAGCAGCAAACAAGGAGAGCAACATCCGCAGAAAAGCTTCTGAAAAAAGCGTGATGAGAGAGGCAGCAAACTCAGTTGACAAGCGGAAGCCGTCACCCACCGTGGCTGGAGGAGCTGCAGACAAAAGGAGGCTCAAGCGCTCTGCAAAACTTGAGCATGACATCCAAAAAAGGAAAATATGTCAACAGCTTGACACCACAAGGTCACTCTTGAGTACACGCTGACATGTAGGATAGCGAAGCTTTCAACTTGGACTTCATTGAGGACCATTGCCTGCTGTCCTTCGGACAAAGAACTGCTATCACGAGCGGGAAACAGATGGGACACTGATGAGAGCAGGGTGTGCTCACAAACGGAAACAAATGCACCAGTCCCAGACGCGTGTGGTCGTTTTCTTCTTCGTGGGATGAAAAATCACCTCCGAAATCCTCGAAGCATGTCTTATTTGAGTCGATGTGAGGAGCCAGAGCTCCGCTTCCCGAAGCAAATTATCTACTGCAGGCCCGAAGCCCTTACAGTCAATCCTTAAGCTCTCCTCAGCATGCTCTCAAAGGACATGTCTCCATTTGCTGCAGCAAACCCATGGAAAAACCATATGGAACACAACAAAACACAACAAGACAAACACCTCCCCTTTTGCAATTGATTGCGTGGTATCTGCGGCGTCCTGGTTCAGATGCTGATCGACCCACGTCGTCGTGAGGAAGTCCAGCAGAGACAGCCGGTCATAAAGCCAGGAGAGCCTGTAGTAACCTTGCAGCATTTTGCAGAATTTTCGCAGCATTTTGTGCAATGTGATGGCAGACGGGATCGCAAACAAGGCCAGAAATGCCAACATGCCTAAGAGCCTAAGATGTGAGAGCCATCGAGACTCATCCGAGGTCCGGGCCGAAGACTCCAGCAGCCTGGGCTCCAAGAGCAGGCGAAAATAGACTCTCCAGGATTTCGGGCAAAGAAACACGCTCTTCCGCACATATGCAGAACTTCTGTCGGTTGCAGATTGTCAGAACGCGCGATGTTCCCATCGGCTGAGTTCCACGAGCTTCGAAGACTCCAAAGTCAAGAACCAAGAGAAGCTCATGCGGGCGGGCGTCTGGGTAGTTCTCAGCGACCTCCCAACCGGCTCCTCAACTTGGTGAAGCATTCCAAAGGCCATGGATGTTCTTTGACTCTCTCTGTCATAGAGAGGACGCATTGAAAAACAAATGATCTCTGTACCAGATCTATAGTGCAGATGTCTGGGCACGCACCGGTATACGAATCACAATAGCAAAAAAAGGCTGGCTAGGTATCGTCACTAGCCCTCACCTATCGAAGTCCAAGCCATCATAACAAACATCCGTGAGAACAAGGACAAGCACTCACTTCGCCAGCCAGTGCCCAGCGACACACGCAATGCCCCCATCACATGGAACTCTTCAAGCTTCTCAGACTCAGGTGCCGGATAGCCCGGAAGGGGGCTTGAATTGCACAGGCAGGCGGCCAGAGGCGCCAGAGAAGCTCAGGGTTAACAATAGCCATTGTGACTGCGTCAACCGACACTTCTGTCCACAGGTACACCGGGGTACACCGGCTCCCCTGCTCAAGTATCTGATTCATTGGAAAGATACGTGAAAGCAAGGCTGCAGCAGAGTATCGGGTTCGTGAGCAGACCCCATGGCACAAGAAGACCACAATGCAAGAGAGGAGGGACACCCGCTTTGGAGGTAAGTACTTCGGGCACAGGGAGAGCCGATCCAAGCCAGCCCGCCGTACATCTTCAGGAGCAGTAGCCCAACGAGCTCAAGAGACCTGTTTCCTGGGAAAGATCCCGGCGCAGCTGCCCCGCACCGTGACGGGAACCCGGCCGCGACTTGAACATGAGCAGGCAAAGAGCCCCGTAAAAAGACCATAATTTTGGGCTCTTTGCTCACTACGTTCTTTCATATGGGCTTTTTCGTGCAGCCCATATTAAATTCACTTCGTATTTCTATTATCTGGTCTCGCTTCGCTGGGTCTTATCCTCACGGGGCGGTAACTTCCCGAAATACCCTTTCACAGCCCATGGAATCCTCGCGACTGAAGAACAACCATCCAGTGAGGCTTTAGTATTCTATCCCGGGTTCGCTGGTACATTCGCTAGGTCTGGAACTTCGTGCTCTCGTTTCCCCTCTTTTCCCCATTTTTATTATGATTATTATTATTATTATTATTCACGCGTGAACTTCGTGCACTTGTAATAATAATATTAGAATGGCAATGGCGCCCCTCATCTTTTCAGGCAAAGGCGGCTTGGTGACTGCGCCGGCAAGTTCATTGCAATTGCATTGCAGTTGCTGCCAAGACTCGCATGGGCATGTGGGAACTCGCGGTGTAGAGGAAAACACAGAAGAGCAGAAGTGTCTGAGGCAAGGACCACAAGTCCTGAGATCAAGTGCAGAGCCGGATCAGCGAACCCAAGTCGGAGAAGGGCAGGTCGCACAGAGCTTAGTTTCGAAACATCCCATGGCAATGAGCTCCAATTCATGCTCCACAGTGCTGAGCCAAGTCACTGCATTCGTGTCGTATTCATGCCTGTCTAAGCAGGCTTTAGGTTGGCATATGTTGAGAGCCAAATGTCCGGTCCGCATCGCATCATTTTCGTGTGGTGAGGTGAGGCTTCAATTTTTCAATTTCCATGAGGCCTCATCCACTCGATCAGGTCATCGATCAAGCACTCCTCCGCAGCTGAGCAGGCATTGCACTTACGCACACAAACACGAACCACCTTTAGCAATCTTGCAATGAGGGCTCCCCTTCGGCTAGATGTTGAACGTCGTTCTCTTCATTGATGGATTTCTTGATGAGGTTGTAAGCGACCTGGCATGATGTTTTGTGGCTGAAAGAACACCCATCCAAAATAACATGTCGGCATTGAAGCTCCAACGAGAAGTCAGTCAGTTGGTTCTCGAGGGGAGGCCATTCAGCAGCGGCGCCTCCCCCTGAATAAAAGCTTTGTAGAGCTCGTTCACGCTGATGAGCCCAGAACCGTCCTTGTCAGCATCTCGTCCTGCCAGGTGAGACAATCAAAGCCCCACGATGGTTTCACAAGAGTAGTCTTAGCCAATTTGAACTTGCAAACTTCTCCCATTTTCCCAAGACCAAGCAGCTCAAGCCTCTTTGTGCTCTCAGGGCAATGTCAGAGACAAACGACAGAAGAAACTACAAAGAAATTACAAAAACCTGCGGTGCATTTTGTCAGTGTCTTTCTATTGGACTGAACGCTACTGCATACCGCACAGCAGCTGTCCTCAACTCCCAGTAGGAAACGAACTATTCCCGCTCCATGGCAACTTGCGAAGCTACACACAAGACGTTTACTGTCCCAGCGGCCTAACGCAGCAATGTCATCCTTGGTGAGAGTGAGACCTTGGACCTGTGCCCAGTGCGCAAGTCAGAGCAAATTGGCCAGATGCACATTCTCCACCCCACCTTGTTGATCTCCATGAGTTCTTCCATTGAAATCTCGCCCGACCCTGTGCATGTAGCAGATTGGTCGATGAAATTTGTGTCTGCCATAGGCTGCTGGCCAGGTTCAGGTCTCAGGGGGTTGGGTCTGGGGTCGGGCTGACACAGCATACGGCACGGCACGGTCTGACGCCGGGCACCCAAGCCAGCTCGCCCGAGTCGAGCGAGCAGACACACACACACACACACACACACACACACACACACACACACACACACACACACACACACACACACACACACACACACACACACACACACACACACACACACACACACACACACACACACACACACACACACACACACACACACACACACACACACACACACACACACACACACACACACACACACACACACACACACACACACACACACACACACACACACACACACACACACACACACACACACACACACACACACACACACACACACACACACACACACACACACACACACACACACACACACACACACACACACACACACACACACACACACCCACACCCACCCACCCACCCACCACCCCACCCACCCACCCACGCAAGCACAAACGCGGCACACACACACACACACACACACTGAAATGGGTTGAGAAGCTTTGCGAGTATGGCCATGCCAGACACAACAACAAAGGAATAGTGGTGACGCCACAGCTACGGAGTCAACCTGAACCTGCAGGCACCAGCCTTTGCAGTGGAAACATGCAGGCCTATTTGTGGCTTGACAGGCCTTCCACATCGAAGATGGCAAACAACTCATGCACATCTGCAACGGTCACCTGTTGTATCAAAATCTTGCGCAAGATATGCTTCTTGTTGTGCTTTGGCAACTGCGATTCACGGCCACAAGCCTTGATGACACATGTCAGTGCCGGTCAGCTCAATACAATCGCTTTGGTTTGATCTGGGCCCCGAAGAAACAAGCACGTTTTCACACGGCAGGGTTCAAGAACCCGCTCCTGCGTTGTCTTCCCAGATGGCACTACAGTGGTTCGGGATGTTCCCGGACTTTATTCATCTTCACAGAGGGCAGAGATCTGGGCGTTGGCGATAGCCATTCATAACAGTGTCGGTCCCATTGAGGTTGGTAGTGATTGTCAGGGTGTCGTAAACACTTTTTTGTGGTTAAACGCCAACGCTTGTAATTACGATTTGTTAAGGAAGGTTGATAACGCTGACTTGTGGAGTGTAGTCCCAGATATGGCTAGGCGTAATGGTTTGGTCACAGTGTTTTAAAATGAAGGCTCATGCATCTACAGACCAACCAGCGTTGTGGACTGACTTGAATGCTAGAGTAGACGCTGCTGCTAAGCAAGCAGCACGCGCAAAGTAAGAAGCTGCCTGTAGGCAGTTTGAACCTGAACTGGTTGATGGCCCTTTTTTTACATGTTCATCTTGTTAAAGTGTTGCTCAACAGGTTTCCACTATTCGCAGCTGAGATTTCAAATGATGCTCCCATGCAAAGAACAAGTCTTGGCAGTTCGCAGCGTAGACGTATCTGGGGTAAGCAAAGTGTTTCATATCCCACTAATGCTAGCCTTCAAAGTTTCGTCAACCTGTTTAAGCAAGGCTTGCCGATTGACGGAGGTGTTTGGGACGACGTCACGAGGGCATATCCCAGACACGCTTACGCGCGTAAAGAAGTCATCATCACTCGTAGAATGGACCTTCACGTCGCGATGGAGGATATCTCATGGGGGAATACTACTGAGAACATCACAGCTATGCGGCTTGTGTTACTTTGTTCTTACTTCCCAATGGTATTTTCCGGAAGGGAAATCTTCTACGCGACAGTCTTGGGTTGAACTAGTCTGCGAAATTGTCGCGAGGTATGGGTTCGTAGGTGGTCTTGTGACGAAAGGGATGCCCATGTCACGTATGACCCGTAAGTTGAAAACTTACGTTGTAAAGTGTTCGAAGCTGCTGGACATCAATTCAGACAGTGAGTAGAATATCCCATCTTCGTGATTTCTTTGGAGGCGATGTAGCCGGTTTGGTTGGCAGCATGAGATTAAACCATCCCAATCATGTTTGGGCAACGCTTATTCTGCTGCACTCGATCCTGGCAAAAGGCCTTTCGGGCAGCGACAAGCGAATGCCCGTTGGATTCCTGATTTCCTTTCTGCATTCTGATTCTTGTTCTCTCCATCTCTCTCTTCATCGATCCTCAGATATGTTGCCAATTCAGCCACTTCGATGCTCGTGAGGCTTGGAAGTAAGTGTCGGTAACAAACCGAATAAACCGCCCCTCAAGCTGGACTTTGCAAAGACTGCAGGTATGTGCACACCCCAAGTGTGCGACAACAAAGACTCAACGCGGGCGCAACAGAACAAACTGCTGTACGAACACGGAATGGCATGGCATGGCATGGCTATTCAAAACAGCCCGAAGGACCTGGTAGAGCTTGCCTGAGTTCAGCTTTGGCCACAACGAGAGGTGCTGCAGCTTCTCCCGCCGAGCCTGACAGATCTGTCACTCAAGCCCAGGTTGCATGTCCCGAAACTTGAAAGCCACAAATGCTGCAAAAGAACTTCAAAAAGATACTGGCGTGAATACTCGAGGTCACACTGCAAGGCTCGTCATGAACTGTAGGCATGCTGTGACTCCTTTCATGGGTGAGTCCAGCGCGCATTACAACTCAGACACAATGGATGAGCGGCTACGCTACCAACACGTCAAACTCGCATCGTGAAAACAGCCAACATGCCTCCACAAGCTCCTCGGCGGACAGATTCTGGAAGACATCCGGCTGCAGTGGGTCCATAGCTGGGCACCATGTCCGGGCAGCAACTCAAGTTGTGGAAGAGCTCAGCTGGGCGAAACCATGGGAAATAGTCTTGCAGGGACATGAGTCATTAGATGAGAAAGTCTTGTCACAGATGCTTTGGGGCTTGGATTTTCCAGCAACGAGAGAAGCAGGCGGCGATTGGACATGCGTCACGTCCGTTCAAAAGTACTGTCAAGTCCTCTCAACAACAGGCTTGCTACGGGCTGAGCCACGGGTTGGTAAAACCTTATTTGTAAAGCCTTCGACTCCCTATCTTTATGAACAAGTCAGAACGCAAGCTAAAGAACCTTCCGAACATAGGAATGTTTTGTTGATATCAAAATTGCAAACGTGAGCGAAAGCTTGGGCAAAACGGAGCCGTACCGAGCCGCAATTATAGCCCAGGGCTAGACACACCACCGCACTCAAAAAGGGTGGAAGGTGAAAACGATTCTCTTCATCGAAAGATTGTGCAATAGACATGTGCGCCGCACGCCTGTACATGTCATTCGCACTCCGTGCACGAAAATATGTGGTTCCCTTGACCTGCAAGCATCAAGAATCTCACCGACACCCAAACAGCTCAAGACGGAGTAAAACTGGAAAGTATATTCTTCCAAATCATGCTTACGACGCAAAAAACTCACCTTCATCTGAGTTAAGTAAAGAAACAAAGAGCTGAATTGTGCTCGCACTCTTTGTCCTCAAACAGAGAATTGCGATCCACACCCACACGGTCTCGAGCCAGTACGGCTGGCGAAACGCTCGATGCAGGACAATCTGCCAGGGGCTTAGGGGAATGTAGGGGTGTCGGAGTTTAGGGGTTAGGATTGTAGGGCTAAAACCTCGGGAGGGCGGCCTCGAGCCACCTCTGAAACATTGAGACTGGGATCCCCAGTAACCCAACTGTCTGCGGAAAATTTGATCCAGGTGGCTTCGCCTCCACTGTTGGGAATGCAGAACGTGGCCGTGGCATGAAACCGACATCTTAAGGACGCTCATGGACGCTCTAGAAGCACGCATTCTCAACGTCTGCGGGTGCCACCTGCTCACGCTCACATCGCTCCTGGCATTTTGGCGCTGCGGTCTTGCAACGAGGCCAGCTGACTTGAGCTTTGGAAACCACTCTAAAAACCTTTGCTACATGCTGGCTTCTTGGAGGGACCCCAGCAGGCAGATCATCATGGCTGCGTCTGCTTGGCAGACTTCATCTGCGCCTTGGTTCTGAGGAAAACTTGGTACATCAGCTGTGGAGCATCGACCAGTTTCGTAGTGGAATGCATCATGCTTCGGTTGTCGAATAGCACCAGGTCACCGACACGCCAATCATGCTTGTAAACAGCATCACCACTCAACCCTGGCAAAAGAATCTCCTCCAGCTGGATCTTGGCTTGTTCCAGTCCCATATCCCGGCACTCCTCCAAGAAGAAGGGAGACGTCCACAGAGTTGTACGTCCCGTGAAGGGGTGTTGCCTCACAGCACAAATCGACCGTGATATTGGCTAACCAGCATCCAACGATGGTGCTTGTAAACCTAATGCGATGGGGTGAAAACTGTTGACATACTGTTGACAGGCTCTGGGTTCTTCAGGGCACAGAACAAAGGCCAACCTTGTGTTCTGCGTCAAAGATGACGGCTATATTAAATAGATGATGAGCTCATCGTGTTTGCAGGCAAGCAGGAGAGAAACTGTCATGTGCTGGGGCCCCCCCAACGATCCTCAGTGAACTCGGGGGGGGGAGATGGGGCGGCCCGAACGCAACCGACGGATAGTCTTAGAATGTACACTAGTACACGGACTGCACTGAGATGTCGCAGACTGCAGAAACCGGCATCGGTGGCAGCGAGCTTTGTCTTTTGCTGGGGTGGTCCTCATTGATTCCTGCTTCCCGCCCAAGCCACGCCCAATGGCCACAGAACAACCTTTAGAATAATGAACGCACTCAAAGTTTACAAGGATGCACTCAGGAACTCATGTCTACTCGTGCCTCGCCTGGCAGGTGAGCCATTCAAGTGCAAATAGCGCCTCGTGTTGCTCGAACTCTCTCGTCGCTGCAGTTGCTCCTTTGTCAGCACTGTGGAATCCACATCTTGCACTCGCCGCAAACCATTCTCACTCATGCGCCCACCGTACCGACACATAGTGGCAACACTTTCGTCCAACAAATAGCGCGGCCCGAAAACAAGGCTCATTCCCAAGGCCTGCTTCTTTGCCTCATCGCTCAGCACATCCCAGGCACGATAGCCACTGGCCCAGAGAGTGTTGCGTGTCTGCTCTCCATGCGGCACTTGCGCGGCATAAAGGCCTGTTATGCCACAGCCGTCGGTGTGCCAGTCCATACCAAGCTCACAAGTTTCGGGCACTGCCCCATGCCAGAGAGCACGATCCGAAGCCTGAGTGCCCAAAACGCGAACACCTGGAAGTTCCGGCACGCAAGACGGGTCACCGTCTGCAAAAGGCAGGGACTTGTTCTGAAGCTCCTCGACATCTGTATC